ACTGGTTCGGACCTCCTTGGGTGCACACTTTTTTCTCCTGACTTGGACATTTTCCCATGGACACAATGTGTGTCAGTCCCGAGAACACCTCTTGGAATCGATCCTATAAAGAACCTTGTGACATTTCCATTGAATTACCCGTCCTGGCCACAAGAGGTTCCCAGTTGAGGGTAAATTCTGTGGGTGGAGAGTGTTAAGGAGGACCCGATTCGCAGGGTATCCGTCGATTGACTTTTACCAGAATCGGTACACCTTCTTCGCAATAAAATATCCCCGCACTCTTCGTGCTTGGTTCTGTAATAAATTTCCTGTTGATTTCTCGAGCAACCCGAGTCGGGCCGCATACTCACGAGCGAGGAGAGAGACAGTGAGAGCTACTGTGCATAATCACACAATACTGTACGGCGACATCGGTATCATCGTCGTTTTTTTAGATGTTGAGGAGAATGGTCTGTCTGGCAACCATGGGGGGTGTGAATGAATGCATTATATTTATTTGTGTGAATACAAAAACAAGTAGACTAATTTCTAGCTGCTCGGGGGTACTTCACAGAGTTCGTGCCTATATGCCTCTTTGCCTATCTCTCTCTCTCTCTCTCTCTCTGTCTCTCTCTCTCTCTCTCTCTCTCTCATCATCGCATTTATTTCTCATTTTACCTCGTATCGGTGCCTCTCTCTCATCTGCATTTATTTATTATTTATTATTTGCTTGAGCTCCTCGTGAAGGAACGGTGTTTTCCATCGAGAAAGAAGAACATCAAAAAGAAACGACACAGAGTGAGTGTGGCTATAACTTCACGAGAGAGAGGAGAGAAAAAAACAGGTATACAATCAAGCAATAAGGCGTGACTACTATTATATTCCTACTACTGTATGCTGCCGCTGCTGATGCTGCTGCCGCTGCTGATGTTGCTGCTGCTGCTGCTAAAGGAGTTGTGGCCCATTGTTGTATTCATGTCTCCACACAGGCGAAGTGGCTCGCGAGGGAAAAATTAAAATAAGTCTACAGCAGTATACTTGTTGTATTCCATGGTCGAGACTACTTGACATTGTTTGCATAAGGCTCCGAGAAATCGGTGTTTCTTTTTGCGGGCCGACAGCGCAGTCTGTACACAGTTACAGGAGGAGTACCCAACATGCGGGTGAACCATCCATCCATGTACAAAAATATAACATAGTAGGGCACACGCGATCACCAGGCAAGAAAGTGTAAAGCTTTGGCCGCACGGAGAGAGACCAGCAAGGCCGCGCTGATAATTCAAGACAAATCTATCTCACACTCAGGCAGGTGGTAGCTGCTGTCTCTGTTGTGAAATGGATTTGAAACGAGGGAGACAAAATGTATGCTGCATCCGTCCGCACACGACATGGTATATATTTTGTAGCATCCGGCAAGAGCGGGACCGTTCCTCCTGTAGATCCTCATTTATTTGAGCTGGGTCAGATACAAGATCAAGCGGGCTAGCTATTTCCAACTCTCATGAATAGCGTATGTCTGGCGTCATGAGAGCCCCCGAATCCCTACGGTTCATGTCTGTGTCGTCGCTCTTGGGAGTCTATCTGTGCTCGGAGAGCCGTATCTGGTCGTTTCACCGGTTGGTTGTTCCGCTCACCAGCTCCACCGGCTTGCGCTTGGTGTTGCCGCTGCCCTCCAGGGCGAGCAGGCCACCCACGTCGCCCATGCTTTGGAATCCGTTGAAGTTCATCTTGTTTCTTGAGACTAACTGCACCCGCAAGTCGCTCTCGCCCTTGTCCGATGCAAAGTCAATTGATGCTGTCTGTGTCCCGTCACGAGCAAGATATATTGATATTTTCATGCGGTGGGTGCCCCGTGTGCACGATGTACCCCTCCTCATCAAAAAATAAGTGAGGAAACTTGTAGGGGGGGGGGAGGGGGGAGAAAAAGGGCCGGAAAATGCGTACGTACGTAGGTCGTTGTCGGAGCTGGGGGGGACCCCTGCATGTATTTATGTACTATCAAGAACGGAAGAGGAGGGTTCTTCCTGTAGCAGTGTAGTACACACAAGACAGAAATAATAATATATATAAATTTATGGCGCATTCGAGGCGTTTTTTCGTCATCATCATCGACGAAAACTATGCAAACAATCGCGGCGGCACTTGACAGATGTGACAGATGAAGGTACTGGGTCGAGAGATCGGAACGGTGAAGACAACAACAACAACAACAACAACTTTACTTGACGCCGTGGTGGTGAGAGTATTGACCAACTTGTGACCCCAAATGGTGCGCCGAACATGCATATAATATATTATATGTGTGCCGACAGGCAGGCACACATACTACATACAATACGTTGACATACATACATACATGTAAACTGGCGCCCAGAATATAGGAGGAGTAGATGGGAACGAAACAACCACTATTATTTTCAATATAGAGTTAGTCTATTTAACTCTTCTTGAAGGAAGTGGATACGGTTTCCTTGACGGAATAACATCTTATCAGGTAGAGAGACCATAAAAGGTCCACATACATATATATATTTATCCATAAAACAAAAATATGCCCGAGAGCAAGAACAACAGTATCACCGTCACCGTGTAGGTGTGGTCGGGATATAAACAACAACCGTATTATTAGTGTAGTGCGGGTCGGGATATTAACAACCGTATTATTCGTATAGAGCGTATGTATCTGATCTACAGGTTGCATAACTACAAGGAGAAACTGTCTTGTTGAGCCTGTTACCCACAGGGGAGATGTCGCTGTGTGCTGCTCGAGAAATCGTGGAAATAAATACAGGTAGCCTTCCTCTGACGCTATGGATTCATTCATTGCTAATCTATCTTAGACTCTTTTCTCAGATATAGAGATGGATTCGTTGTGTCATATTAAGAAAATAAAACAAACGACAAGGAGAGCCCGCAGAATCTCCGATTCTGCTGCGCTGTATGTGTACCGCGGCAGCGTCAAGAAAGGTGTCTGCTTCTCTCCCACACGCACCTCGACAGGCGCGTTGGTTCTTGAACTTACCATATTCATGGATGGGTAGATTTGGATGGATGGCTAAGCGCACCCAACCTACAAAGAAGACAACCGGCATCTTCTGATCCAGACGTGCATAAGTGTGGCATGTACGATGACAGACATTGGGTGCGCATGCGAGATTCTAAAAACAGAGAGCGTCTTGTCGTAAACGTCATCAACGAATGAAACCTCCGTCCACCGCAACAAAAGAAACACTCGTCACTACCAACAGCGGCCGACGACGAAAGCGAGAGCCACCGCCACGTAGTAGTCAAATCACCCAGCGAGGGGGATGAAGAAGAAAATGAGGAACGCCGCTTGCATGGTCAGCATAGCAAATACATTGAAATACATTGAGGCCAAAAAACACCGACAGCTTAGTTGACTTCTACTGCTAATGGCATCAACACCAATCTACTTGAGTAAAAAACGTGAATTGCCCGAGTACCCCGAGCCCTCTCACCCCATTTGTCATCGTTCCCAGACCTCAGCGCGAAACCGCAAGAACCAAGTCAACGCGAGCCGCGGGAGCAGAACATGCTTTACTTCGGGTGCGTTTTCTACGGCAACCCAGCACGTCAAAAACATTCATCACATAAACGCAAAGTACGTACACCCGGAATTAAGTAGGCAGGCACTCGAATTCGACGTTGTTGAAGGGGAGACTCTTGAAGGGGTCGCGCACGCGAGAAACCTTGAGGCATCGGGGCATTTGGGGGACGTCGCCTGCGCTCGATAAGATACGGGACACCCTCCTCTCGCCTGCGGAGCCTCTCAGCCTGTCTATACGTACGTCCATCACTCACCAAAAAAAAAATGGGGGCCCTGTCCGGCAACAAGAGTCCCGCCACCTCTAATCCATCCCACGCACGTGGAAACCCAAAACAAAAAAACTTGTCCAACCAACCCCAAGGGGTTGCGCACACCAACCAGCATACAACCGCCTGGTATCGGTGTGCCATGTCCGAACGAAAGCACTACATTTACATACTACTGCCCACGTCCCCGACAATCAAATTTCTTGCATACCACCACGTGCACGCATACAACGACAATTTAAAAACCGAAACAAATGTTCGCAAAAAGACAAAAAAAACATCTTACCATACACCGCCCTATATTCTCGCTTCCAACAAAGAGAGAGGTTGAAGCAATACCATGGAACAAAAAAGTATCTGTTCGGTTTTGCACTTCTCGGGCTTGTCTAAGGAATACAATACCCCGCCCTCAGTCAACAAGCAACAAACACCCCCGGGCACTATCTTTTCCGTATAAATGAAGAAAGATGCGACATACTGCCCCGACAGTAGTCTAGTAGTGCTTGCACGATGGCACAATTTACATCCTTCCGAATTTTCTAAACAGCGATTTTCAATAACATCTTAAGCAAAAACAATGCAACATTTTCCCTACCCCCCATGCACAAACATGCCTGCCAACAATTGTGAAACCCTTTCAAAGCCACACCCAAACAGCAACAACAGGTTTCGCCAGAGAGCAAATTGCGGCAGGTTTTATTTCACTCTTGAGTGTAACCACGCTTTTACCTTTTGACAACGACACCGACCGACCGTGTTTCAAATCCAAATCTAGGTTTCGCTACATCGCCGCTCTAAACGCCAACTTTCCTGCCGGTGCAGCACAACAGCAGTAGCGACAGCGACTTGCCTCAACGCTACACCTGGCAGTCTAGGTTTATCATGGAAAAGGCGTGAAAAAATACCACACCTCGCTCCCCCCGCAAAACAACGAACTTTCGGCGCTGACGTAGGTATTACTCTCCACAACGAACGGCCAGGAAGGGTTATTTTCCTCACGGCCGAAACCGTCGGCCCTACCCAGAATATTGTGTAGCTTTAGACAAGATGCCACCTGCATCGCCAACCTACGCAAGCAAAAGCACAGACGGACCAGCTCCCCACTGCTGTGTAATCCATCAAAGCTTGTTCCATATTTGCGGTACACAATAATGGCAGCACAGACGGGGGGGGGGGGGGGGGGGGTATGCTGCGCAAGCTGCACACACAACAATTGACTGATGCGCATCTAACGAAACATCCCTGGCCCCCCAGCATCCAATTT